CTCTACTTCTGATAACTCTATCTGGAATGTAACAAAAAAAATCCTAAAATATCACACCATTACCCACCTCCTCTGACGTGATAATGGTTCCTGGGGTTCATCTGATGAGAACAGGGTAGAGGAATTTGCAAAACATCTATCCAAAACATTCATTCCCCATTCTGAACAAAATCCCTCTCACACACAGCCAAAGCTAAGGAATTCACTACGTCACAAATAAAACCTTATATCATGATATCAATATCTGCTAAATGAGAATCTTCATTTATCAGCAGTGAGTCAAATTACTGGACTGATATATCCATTTATATCAAAAATGTTGGCAATGAAGGATAGAAAACCTCTCTTTATAAACATAGGCTCTCTTTCCTGTATTGAATACCTGAAATGATCGAGTTTAGGATCCCAAAACAAACGCAAAACCTTGACAGTTGAGGAATTTACATCCAGGCGCAACAGAATTTCTGGACTACCCATGGGTATAACAGAAAGTACTTTTTCGGAATCGCTAGAGAACTTTCTGAAGGGGAGAAACTCACCTGCTCCAAATAAGGCCATCAACTCATTATACAGATCCAGAGCCTCATCATTAGTGCCAGAACCGTGATTACGTTATCTACATAAATCTGGTCATGACACTGGGCAGCTTTAGGAAAATTATAGCCTTCTTCCCGAAATAACTGTAGAATGACTCTCTGAGCAATAAAGGGAGAACATTTCAACCCAAATGGTAAGGTAACCAACTCATGCCCCTGGATCGGCTGGGAAGATTCACTTCTCCAAAAAAAAAAAACGGAATAAGTACTGATTAGTTCGGCAATGCAGATACACCTAAACATCATTTTTATATCGCATGTTAAGGTCAAAGGAAAGCATATAAAATGATCTATAAATTCTGTAACATCAGACTGGAGCTGCGGACCAGTCTAGCTCAAAAACAAAAAGTCGCAAGAAACTGATATCAGGTATTTAAAATAGAGATGGGCAAAATTGTACTCAGAGTAAAAAGTACAATTACAGAGTAATTTACTCAAATACTCGTCCGGTTCGAGTATCGAGTACTTCAATCACTACTCGACCTCATGATTGACGAGTACAAAAAGTAATCAGCTGTCCTCGTGAGTACTTTCTATTTTCAAATCTACTCGGGAATATTTTACTCTGAGTACTTTTCAAAGTAATCGAGTATTTCATTATAAAAATTACAGGAGTAGAATATTTAATATTTCTTCCATGTTTAAGTCCATTGTTATCTTATGGGGGTATAGTTTTTTAAAATAGTACCGATATTAATGTAAATCGATAAAATAAAGAATTATTAAAATATTTTGGATTTAATCAACTTTGGGGACCTTTTTTTTTTTTTTTACACCACTTGACATTTATGATAATGCTGTCGGATTTGAGATAGTGCCCCCGGGCCCCGACTTTTTTTAAGTTTTTGTGGTAAATCGATATCAGGGTCGATTAGTATGTTTTGGGGGGCTCTTTTTATGAAAATGATATCGAATTTGGGATTGGACCCCCGGGCCTCGACTTTTTTTATCTTTTTGGATTAAATCGATATCAGGGTCGACTATTGGGTTTTAGGGGACGCTTTTTATGAAAATGATATCGAATTTGGGATTGGGACCCCCGGGCCTCGACTTTTTTTATCTTTTTGGATTAAATCGATATCAGGGTCGACTATTCGGTTTTGGGGGACGCTTTTTATGAAAATGATATCGAAATTGAGATTGGGCTCCCCGGGCCCCGACTTTTTTTAACTTTATGGATTAAGTCGATATCAGGGTCGACTATTGGGTTTTGGGGGACGCTTTTTATGAAAATGATATCGAATTTGGGATTGGGACCCCCGGGCCTCGACTTTTTTTATCTTTTTGGATTAAATCGATATCAGGGTCGACTATTCGGTTTTGGGGGACGCTTTTTATGAAAATGATATCGAAATTGAGATTGGGCCCCCCGGCCCCGACTTTTTTTAACTTTAAAAAACCCTGATATAGATTTAATCCAAAAAGTTAGTAAAATTCCAGACTGCCCAATCTCAAATTCGATATCATTTTCATAAAAAGCACCCCCCAAAACCTAATAGTCGACCCTGATATCGATTTAATTCAAAAAGTTAAACAAGTCGGGGCCCGAAGGGCCCAATCCCAAATTCGATATCATTTTCATAAAAAGCGCCCCTCAAAACATAATAGTTGACCCTGATATCGATTTAATTCAAAAAGTTAAAAAAAGTCGGGCTTGGGGGGTCCAATCTCAAATTCGATATCATTTTCATACAAAGCGCCCCCCAAAACATAATAGTCGACCCTGATAACGATTTAATTCAAAAAGTTAAAAAATGTCGGGGCACGGAGGGCCCAATCCCGAATTCGATATCATTTTCATAAAAAGCGCCCCTCAAAACATAATAGTCGACCCTGATATCGATTTAATTCAAAAAGTTAAAAAATGTCGGGGTCCGGGGAGCTCAATCCCCAATTCGATATCATTTTCATACAAAGCGCCCCTTAAAACATAATAGTCGACCCTGATATCGATTTAATCGGAAAAGTTATGAAAATTCGATGCCCGGGGGCACTATCTAAAATCCGACAGTATATTTTTATAAAAAAGGCCCCCCAAAACATGATTGGTCTAATATCGATTAATGGGGGCTCGGGGTTGGTCAGGTCGAATATGGCCGCTATTATTGAAGGAAATAAAAGAAAACATTTTTAGTCTTTATAATAATGACGGAGTAGTTGAAAAATAAAAAGTACTCTTTGTAGGAATCAGGCTGAGTACTTTCTGTAATTCGATATAACAGCACGAGTATTTTCTGTACTTAACTAAATCATGATTGACCCTCCGTGAGTACTCTCAGTACTCGCCGATGTCAGGCCGAGTACAGAAACTACTCGATACTTTTTCCTAATAAAATTACTCAAATCATGAAAGTAATCGAGTACTGCCCATCTCTAATTTAAAATAGGTATATGCCTTGGATCTGACAGCAACTTTTTCCTTAAAATCAGCTAACCGGAAGTGCCACTTTATATCAACGCTGAAACACATGGCAATTACGATTTTAATTAAACTCTTGTATCATGGTATAATTAAGTGGTCTTTAATATCAATTAGGTCTTATCCTCATTGTTGTCACTTTACAGGGCTTAAATGCCTAATGTCCATATACGTCTCTTCCTCTAAAGTACCTTTAAACGGTTTATTTTAAAAAAATTATCTCAATCATCTCAAGTTATTAAATAAAAATGCTAAATATAGCTTTTGAAAGAATTTGATAATTGAATAAAGGAGAAATAAATAAAAATGCTTATCCAGGTCGAAAATGAATCTCTGGAAATACCAGTCAGAAGGTATTCGTATCATATATCGTTGGAAAGCAAAGAATTGTAGAAAAAACAATATCTAATATAGAAACTTGTAGAAGGTAAAGGAGAGTGGCGAAAACATTATAAATAATAATGTCAGAAAACTAACATTATTTATCATAAATCACATATTTCCAGTAAAATTAAATGAAATTTTTACTACAGGTCAACTTTTAAATGTTTTGTTAAGATTGAAAAAAAGTATTTAAAATCCACCGAATCAAGCCAAAGCGCAATTGTTTAAAATACTATTTCATTGTACTTGTGTGAAAGAAGAAGTAAAATATAAAAATATTTCATTGATATGTTTATAATCTCAAATATATTTACTATAGAGTATTAACTCTAGATAAGATATTATATTTAAATAATTAGGTATCTATCGGCCGTTTATTCCAAAAAATCATCAAGTAACCTTTTAGAAAATTAAATTAGTGTGACAACTTTTGGCATTTCCATGGCAAGGTAATGAAAATCTCGTAATTATGTTTTAGTAAACTTTACAATGGAAAATAACAAGGTTAATAACTACCCGGATCCTACGATCCATAATCATTTATAGGTTAAATATTCAGATATACTTTCAAATATCTCTAGGCATATATGAGCCTTTAGGTTTATAGAATGACTTAACTCCAATTTCAACATTCTTTATTATTAATTTTAGTTATGTTTCATTCACAGTTCTATATTTCAACATTGCAATTACCTACTCTGGAGTCAACTTATTCACAGTCTGTATAGATAACTTTTTCAACTAAAAATATCACTAAAATGACATTAATAAAAAATATTGAAATTGGAGTTAGTCATTCTGTCAACTGAAAGGCTAAGAGATTGAAGTTGAGTGGTTAATAAAAGCAGATGAAATAATTAGATTTTTATTGCCTACCGTCAATATAATAAATTGACTTTTTGTAATTTTAATGGTCTTAATGATTTGTTATCTGTAAGCTTTAAGCTTTAGCTCTGTTTAAAATTCACTTCAAAAATTCTATAATAGCTCAGCATTGCTAGAAAATACTTTCTATTCCAAGTAGATCGGGTAAATGAAAGTTGTGTGTTGCGGGCACCAGATTTTTTAATACATAACCAATGGATGAAGAGTTAAAGCAAGATATAAACATGGTTCTTTGTCCTTTTTCACTATTAACTCTAAAATCTATGAATTTCTAAAAAAAAAAAAAAATTAAAAAAACGTTGAAATTGAAAGTGCATTAAATTTTATGTAGAGCTCGTATAGTCCTTATTATGTGAGGTGGTGAGTGCTCGATCTTGGCGGCCTATTTCAGTCCCTAAATTTTAAAATATAACAAAAAAAATTTTCACTCATACCACATAACATAAATTATAAGAAAAAAACGTATAATTTGTTTCTAGATTTTAACAATGTTTTAAATAAAGATACAAAAGACAAGTCAAATGAGTAAGAATGACAAACACAGTTTAACTTGAGCACTCAAATGTATCTTATCAAATATTAAGTACTCTAAATGAGCTATCTTGGAAATTCGATACTCTTTCAATTTTAACACATTCCTTTTTTTTTTTCAAATGTGTGTTATGATCTATAAGTGAAAGAATACCAAAAATTGGATACTAAAAATAACTACTAACTGTCAAACCAAGATCCGTGAAGTGCTCTGTAGGCAATACCAGCATCTCTAGGTGAACCACATTTCATATAGACACAGCCCTCTCTCGACTGTCTCTCAACAGCGATATGGAGAATTCTAGCATCACTACATTTTTCAAGAATTGCATCAACTACAGTAGCAACCCAATCATCTCCTTCCTCCCTAAAAAAAGTTACATACATAATAAAACAAATACCATTAAAAAATAAAAATTAGGAAAAGAATTAAACAAGTCAAATTAACACAAAAAGGGGTTTGCTAAACAGACCTTGGAAAATGTTGGGTAACTCCATTTATTATATACATTGATAAGTGTGGGATAAAAATAAAAATTCCAAGTTTTCATATTAATAGACTAGTGGGTTCGCCCCAGTCCTCCAAAACCCATTAAAATGTCAGACTTTTTTGATTCACACTAAAAATCTCCATTTAAATTGGTATAGCTAGAAAATGGTTATATTCAATATATTTTTTTTTTTCAAACTTCAAAATATCAATTTATTTTTATCATTTTGAAGTTGCTAAGTTTAGAAAAATAAGTTTCCTATAAAAGCATTAGTAATTTTGTGTACATAATTAGGGACATGATTGAGCTATGTCACTTAGAAAGACAGATAAATAGCTAAAAACAAAAGATCCCATTTGAAAGCACTATAGTCCCAATCCTGTTGGATTTTCTAAAAATAATTCCTTCAAAAATGTTAGAAAATTTTTAAGATTGAATATAATTATTTTTTAGCTATATCACTTTAACAAATGAAGTATTTAGTGAAAAAAAAAAACATACATTCCCAGGTTGAAAACATGAATTTTTTATATCCACCATATACCTAATACAATTTTTTTTTAAATTACTCAATCTTTTGCAAGGTAACTTGTCTGCTTCGACTGCACTAAAAAACTTTTATTAGAAACTACTGGGTCAAAAGTTTTATATTTCTTGTTTTTAGAGTTTTCAATAAAATAGTAATCATACAGCACCATAAAAACAGATAATAAATAAAAAATATTGTATATTAAAACTTTTCATCAAAATTGTTGAAAATCACCTAACATATAAACATAAGAAAACTATATCTGCACTATATATTGAATAAATATCTGCACATTTGAATAAGACACAATATTCTTACAGAGCAGCATCAAACATATGCCGAATCTTCAGACAGGATGTTGGACTATTCGGGAGAGAGTTAACACTTCCTTCCATTGTGTCAAATGCCTGCCCTTGCCATACTTTGCGTTTACTAAAATCAAAATAATAGATTACACTCACTGTCTTTATTTAAACTAATTAAATATGGCAATGAATATTTAAAAACAAAATATTTTTTCACAATAAATCATGCCAACAGATAGTTGACAAAGTATTATAAGAAAATATTGAGAAGTTACAATAATCCTTATTTACAGAATTATTATTCCCGTTAAAATATAATAACCATATTATTATCCTTTAAACTTAGTCCAGAGAATGTCATTAAAAGGTTACAAGAGAATATGGATGTAAATAAAACACAATAATGCATAAAAATTAAAGTATATTGTATTTTTTAAAAACACGTTACAAAATAAATAGTTACGCTTGTCATTTACAAAAAAATCTTAATTTAAAAGACTGAAGCCTACTTAGGGTTGTATGAGGATGCGACCCATCTCCAGACCAGGCAATCCTCTCCTTCCACAACCTGCTGCTCACATCTAATTCTTGAATCAGAATTTAGAACTTCTACTGCATCCTTCCAAAGTTTATCCAAACCTAACATTCAAAAATATGTAAATAAATGTAATGGATCAAGTGGAAATAAAATATTAAAATTAAGTGTAACCGTGCAGCAGAAGATATTTTTCATTTTATAGCTTTATGTCCCATTCTGGCTGAATTTAGAATAAAATATTTTAATATAACATTAAATGTACATAAATTTAAAAATTATTTGAAAAATAAAACTTGTCGGTTTTTGTAGAGTAGCCTGAGTCTGAGTCATTGTAGATATGAATTAATAAAATAATTTAATTATAAAAAACTATGTTAAATGTGTAATCTAGAATAACTGATATAATTTGCTTAATATTATCCTGAAACAATGTTTTCAAAAGTCAGTATCTATCATTTAAAAGAAGATATAATTTTTTTCCCCTGAAATTTGTGCTTTTATAGACTCCCTTGAGATGGTTATTACCATGAGTAATTATAAATATGAGTATATAAACTAAAACCTAAATATATATATATATATATATATATATTTCTTTATTTATTAGAAATAAAGCTGTTATTACTGATATTAGAATTAATTTATTCAAGTTCTGGACGACTATTACTTATCACTTAATATCCTTCTATCTTTTAATAATTTTTTTTTTAAGTGATATTTATTACTGAATCTACGAAATCATTCATTGTAGAACATAAAATCTTAAAATAGAAATTGTTTTTTAACAGAAAAAATTCCAGGTGTGAACCAATTTTGGTTATTGAAAATGTTTACTAATACATGGCTTTTTCAAATTTTTTTCCAAAATTGCCAACTAGAAATTTTTTTCAAGCATGTAATAATAAAATAAAATTTTAATTGTGGATATATTTTGTATATATATTTATTTATATCTTCACAAAAAGCCTGGTATGATCTGGGAATAGAATCCTATTGCATCAATGATTTATCTACTTTTACAGAGGGTCCAATGAAGAAGGTAGTAAATTTAAAAAATATGAAAATTAAAGATTTGATATTATTCGTTACAATATTTTCTGTCAGGTGACTATTTCATATTGTTTTTTAAATGAAAGTAATATTCTTGATTTCAACTAAAATGTCAAATCTTCAAAAACATTTTATATAATAAATAAGCGGGAGTTAGAATTCAGGTCTTCAATTCTAGAAAAATTATAATTTATTGCGCCAAGTTTTAATAGTACAAATTTTTCCTTATAAAACTAAAATAAACCTTAAACACAGCAGCATAGCTCAAAATCCTTCACAATAAAAAAAAATTAATTAATATGCAATGACATTTTTTTTTCTTCATTCCACATAATAAACATTCATTTTGGTGTTAGAACAAGTGGTAAGAGCTAAGCTAACTAGTGAAAGTGAGTGTTTAGCTTAATTCATAACTACTTCAGAACAAACCAACTGATTCTAATTTTAGAGATTGAGAACCTCTTTTAAATGATTAGACCAATTCGGACAAAATTTAAAACTAGATTCTCATATTCTGAATACAAATTATTTTTTTCTGAATATCCTTCAAATCTGGGATGGCTCAGCATCTATTTTGGCAGTAGGAAATATCTTGATATTAAGCTAACAAAAATAAAAAACAAAAAAATTATACAGGTCAGTTCCTTCCTAGACTCAACGAAAACTAAAATATAAAAGCTGCTATTATTGGCGATAATTGTAATTAATTTGCTTTTCACTTTACTCTGGGACATTTTTTCTCAAACCCCCTTGATCTCATCAAAATTGTGAAGTTAATAGCTAGTACACACCCAGCCCCAACAGTTATAATAAAAATGTTTACGTAGTTTAAGAGACTATGACAAATTTGGGACAATGAAGTTGACATTTTTTATAATCCCAGTAACCAATATTTGGACAAAAAAAGTAGAATCCAAAGAAAATATTTTTTTAGATCACTATACTTTAACTATTTGAAAAAAGTGGAAAATATTACATGTGAACAATAAGTGACTTAATTTCACTTCTCATTTTGAACTTATTAAATTTAGTTAAATATTAAATTAGAAATTAAAAAAAAAAAGTTTAACATCTATTGAACTTACATGGAGGCAGACTACAGACAGTGTGTCATTGATTTCAATTAAATTTTTTTTGGTGATACTATATCAAAAAATACGTAAGTGAAAGTAATATTAGGCACAATCCCAGCATTCATTCCAATGGGCCCTGAGAGCCGAGAAAATAATATTTTAAATGATTTCATACAAAATTTATTTTAATTATTTTTGCCTTCACTTAAAGTTTAGGATATTATAACAATCAATTTCTTTTTTTGGGCAGAATAAGAAAAAAAAAATTGACTCATATTAACAGGTTAAAATATATTTTGAAATACAAAAACGTAAAGGCGCTTCCAGTAAAGTAGGACAAATATATATTTTTATTATGAAAACTCTAAATACCAGACTGGTTTTGAATAAATATTTATATTTGGAAGATAGCTACAAGAAACCCTTAATTATGTACTTTCATAGCAATCGAAAAATTAAATTTTTCTGCAAGAAATTTTTGCCTAGGCTGGACTCTTCAAAATTTTGTCAAGAATCACAAAAATTGTGATGACTTAAGAACAGCTCTACAGACCCACACAAAACTAATTGCGGATTTAGGGCTCTATATGCTACACAAAATAAAAGGTACAAAACAGAACTCAGTAAATAAATTAGAACCAAAGATATAAAATAAAAATGATTGAGAAATTTCTCTTAATTTCTAATTCAATAAGGAATGAAATCTAAAAGTTACTGATGTGGATTGGAAGAGTAGTAATTCAGCCTTATAACAGTTGTAATAACATTAGATTTGGAGAAAAATCCTCTAAGAAAATCAAGTATTAAATTTCACAATTTTTAATTTAATTGCAATTTAAGTGAAAATTCATATTTGAGTTTCAAAGGACATTAAAAACTAATTAACTTATTTTTTCATAGAACAAATTTATTTCACCTACTTAACTGGAAGCACCTTTTGGTTTTTGTAATTTAATACAAAATTGTAAATCATTCAATACAATAGTCAATATTTTTTTCCTATTCTGTACAAAAAAAATAAATTAATTGATAAATATCCTAAAATTCTCGGGAAATGGAAGATAAAAATAAATAACATAACTTGAGTATGAAATTATATAAATTTTTATTTTCTCGATATCTAGGACCCATCAGAGCGAACACGAACAAATGTGTCCACCAATAATTTTTGATGTAGTATCAAAAAAAATTAATTGAAATCTGTGACCCACTGACTGTAGCCTTCCACATATGAAATATTATACCCTCAGTACAATTCTTCCTTAACCCAAAAATCTGCCTTTCAAAAACATTCAGTTTCAAGATTTTAATTTTTTTTTAAATTAATAGTTATCCAATTTACACTATCAGATGTTGATTCCTAATGATGTATGAATCATTTATGTTAGCATTTCATTAAATTAAATAAATCATCTGGAATTCAAATTTTTCATTTAACCAGAATTTTTTTTTTTTTTAGTTAGTATTGAGGGTGTAATATATCTTTAAAAATATATTATTCACTAATTGATATTTTATTGCAAATATATAAATTTAAATACTAACTGTTTCTGTCTTGAGGCGCAATTAGCTGATCTCTCACATGACTAATGGCAACATAACTTTCAGGACTTTGTGACTGAGATGCAACAATTTCAATAATATTAGAAACAAGTTTATATACTTCTTGTTTGTGAGAAGCCTCTCTCATCATATACCAACGGGCACCAAAGTATATGGCCAAGAAGGAGACAATTGCTGAAAATAAAATATTAATATGCGAGTGAAAAATTTGATGATAAATTATTATAATATTCCATGTATTATATTATATGAGCAATAGATAAATGTCCTATTTTCGTAAACATTTTATAAAAGGTGTAAGTAGAGGGAAATATTTATAGGAGCAATAGCTGACCTCAAGAGCTACAAAAAAGTTTAAATTAACATTGGTCCGATCTTGGCAGAAGAGTAGAAAATTTAAGATTTTTTTTTTAAGTTAGTCACGTTTATAGTTAATTAGATATCAATAATTATACAAATATTTTAAGTATAAGTAATTAGCAATTGCTCCTCAGGAAAGTAATAAAATTGATTTCAAAGGAAAGTAGATCTCTTATATATGGGCAAATATGTTTCTCTTGATACGTCTATATCTATAAAACCGCAATTTCAATTTGGTTTAAATTTCGAGGAAAATTAGGGATTGATAAACAGATAATCAAGTATATTTGAATTTATCAAATTCTAACACCTACTTCCAATAAATATTTCTGCTTTCAGATCAGGAAATGTATTATTTGACACTTTTAAAACGACTAGTTCGATTTGACTCAAACTTGGAGAAATTTGGAGAATAGTATAGAAATTACCTAGTATCAATTTCATAGAATTTCGTTTAATAATTAAAATTAATGCAAATAATTGTTAACAATATAATGACAACGAAATGTGGAAGGCATAGATCATAAGGATCGGGAGTGTAGCGGCACCAGATTCCCGCACATTCCAGCGGAACGCAACCCGCTTCAATCACAGGCTTTCAAACTTCAGTAGTCACAACTTTCAAGACCTGGCTACATTCAGCTACAAACTATGCTTGTATTAGGAACTACTCCAACTGGCCAAAAGGAGAATCACCAATGACTCCGACATATCGGAGGGGAGTCCTGTAGCTGCACGAGATTCCTACTCTTGCTACAGGGAAAAACTAGTTCGCCTACCCACTACCTGGCAGCGCCAGGTATAAAATTTCAATATGTGAGAAACTAAAAATATTAAAATAATTTAACATACGAGATATCTGACTATAGTAATAATCCTATCCATATTAAGAGAATATACTTAAATACCTTGATAGATTGTTAGAGAAATTTATGTTAAAAAAATATTTAAAATTGGGGTACTAGTCGGGTGCCTCTTTTTTTTTTTTTTTTCTCCGACATAAGAGGTGCAGCGCACCCTCAAAAAGGCCTATTGTGCGTCATCCTAAACTCAGTTAAAACAGCCAGATGCCTTTGCAAACCTGTTGATACATGTAGGATCAATCATTTCGCAGTGCTTAGGGTCAATGATGCGATCATATCCAAAGTGAAAGTATCACAGTCTAGCCAAGTTATCACATCTACAAATAACGTGATAGGCCGTTTCATTCTCCAGGCCACATAGCCTGCAGGTGGAGGTCTCACTTACACCCAAATTGTAAAGATGCTTATTTAATTGACGGTGACCAGTATACAGTCCTGTCACCCGCCTAATAGTATTCCTGTCCATTAGAAGGAGTGAATTACTTCTCTTATGGCAGAGTCCTACTAGGAATAACTTAGAATGAGTTTGTTTCCTAGTCTGTACCCAGTGTAGCATAAATTTGTTGCCCATGATCACCTTGATATGTCTTTTGAATGGGTTTGTTTTCTATTCTGTACCCAGTGTAGCATAAATTTATTGACCACGATCACCTTGATATGTCTTTTGAATGGGTTTGTTTTTTATTCTGCAGCCAGTGTAGCATAAATTTTTGTCCACGATCACCTTGATATGTCTTTTGGAAAAGCCGAGGCTTATTCCACAAATATGCTCTGCTGCAACCTGCACCTGTGCAGAGCCTTTCCTAGCAAGGTAATCAGCTTCCTCATTTCCTGGAATGCCTGAGTGCCGGGGTACCCATTTTACTCTCACCTTGTTAATACTACAACAAAGATTTACCTTCCTATTTGCCTATTGCCTAAGATTTATCTGCTGCAATCATCCACCAGCTTTGGGTGACTTGCATAAATATTCAGGGTCCCAATTGCCGCTTGACTATCCGTATGTATTTTTATTAATCTATTCACAATGCCCTCCCTTAATAAATGATTGGGCACAGAAATCGATGGCTAAAATCTCGGCTTGAAAGACGGACACATCTCTACCTAGAGATATGAATATTCCTTCATTAGGTTTATCCTTTCTCCATATACCAGCCCCTGATCCCTGCTCCATTAAGGAGCCATCGGTATAACATTTAACTCCATTACATGGTCTATGTGAGTTACTCCTGCTTATGTTCAAATTATATAGTATATCCTTATAATTATCAACTTGAAGGTCAGAGTTCATTGCAAGCACCTCATTGCTGTCAATCCTATCAAAAACGATCCCATGGCTCTGAAACGTCAGGAATTTCGATCTAATTCCCAATTTATCCAATCTATAGGCAGTTCTGAGGGCATGTGCTTCCACCTCTAAATACAATGGTTTCAGATTTAAAAGAACCTCCATTGCAGTAGTGGGAGTAGTGCTAATAGCTCCTATCGTCATAAGGCATTCTAGCCTTTGAAGCTTGCCCGCAACTGCCCTATGCCACCATACCACAGCTGCATTGAGGATTAAGGGTCTAATCACAGTCCTATATAGCCATGAGGCCATGCTAAGTTCCAGCCCCCACGATTTGCCTACTACTCTTCTGCACGCCCATAAACTGTGTATAGCCTAACCACTAATCTTTTCAATATGATTTACCCAGTTTAACTTACTAAGTAATCCCAAGATGTTTTATTTCACTACAAATATTTAAGGTTGTCCCATTTAATGATGGTGGTCTAATGTTAATATTTTCAGCTGATTATATTTTATTTAACCATTGTTTTAGGCAAAAATTTATTGGCCTACAATTTATTGCTTGACTAGTAAAGTTTTTTTTTATTTGAGCATAGGTACTAACTGGGTTTCAAATTATATTAAAACAACTGTATAAATATAAATTTACAACAAAACAATATAATAAGTGTATATTATACAATTGTTTGTTAAGGTGTATTAAGAATCATATACATACCTACACCTGCTCTTAAAGCCCAGTCAGCCATTTTCATAAGATTGTTAAAAATTAAACAGATAAATGGTACAGGTGGATTAACTATGGCCATTCCTCCTGAGATATCGATGAGTTTCAAACGAGGATTTGCCGATATAAGGATTTTAACATTTGGCAACATTTGCTCAGTAATCCATGGTCCCTAAAATAAATTATAAAAGACAACAAAAATTGAAAAGAGTAAATAAGATTATAGTCTGACCATGATCAATTGGCAGCCAAGGTCAACTCATGTAGCACTAAGTGAAACTCACATTTTTTTTTTTTTTCTGACACTCCGATATTACTAGGCTCCAATATAGAATGCGCAGGTGAGATGAGTTGAGTGTAGCTGAGCTGAGCGTTGCAAGAGGAGGTCGGCAACCGATTGCGCAGCGGAGCTGAGCTCAGTCAGCAACTTGCAATTTGTTTGGGATAGTGGGATAATTGGAATTGTACTAATCGTTCTAAAGGTTTGGAAAGGATAGACAACAGGGAAATCGTTAGGAGTTGCAGGATTAGAGGTTTTATTCCATGGACGAACAAGAGCAGTTTTTCAGGTACTGGGAAAAGTGGAACTTTGTAGAGAAAAGTGATACGAGTAGATATTATAAAGGATAGGGGAAATGGATGAAAGTGAGAATTTCCATTGCTACCCTTCTCATATTCCATATAATATTTTTAAAAACTATGTATAGCATATTTACAATTTAAAAAAATAGCAAAGCTGATCATGTGGGAGTTGAAAAGAAAAACCGCATATTTGTGTATAAATTCAAATATTTTCCCTTACACATTCGATTAAGAATTCTTCCACATCCATTGCATATTTTATACTGAACCAAATTAAAATAATTTGAGAGGTTGTGTAATGAAAGAGACCGGGAAAAAAAAGGATGTCACTGAAGAACAAAGCCCCACTGTTGTGTGACAGTGGTGAGTAGGTGTGGTGGTGGAAGCTGAATCCGCTAGCCTCACTCCAAAACCGAACCCCAGTCTGACCTGAGCGGACCCTTGCTATGTAGACTACTCAACTGGGCTCAGCTCAGCTTCTGGTGGCCGGTCTGTCATTTAAAACATTTGGTTCGGTTTTGGAAGCTGACTCAGCTACGTACTCAGCTGCACTTTCAGTGGCCGGTCAGCCTTATTGTAAAATAAATAAACAAAATAAAAAGTGATCTATCACATTCCTTATACATCTTTTAACAAAGTTTACATTGACCATATGATCAGCAAATGTGAATTTCTCTAGGGTAGTCTAGTCTTTAAACTTCCAGGATCTCCCTTCCATAAGTCATTATTATGCCAAGCTGCATTCTTTACGTTTCAAATCCGTTTTCCTCTAATTCTCCCCTGAACTCTTTTTGGGATATTCTCAAAAAATAAAAAAGTTATCAGTTTTTTGCACTTCTCCCTCTTTCCCTATAAAAATCTAAGACAGGAAACTTTGAGAATTTTTGTCAGTTGTTACGGGGAGGGTAAGGAACATTTTCTGATAAGTTTAATTTTTTTTTATGTTCGGGTCAATTTTACTGCACTAAAATGGAAGTAGAAGTGAAACAAAGAACTAACATTCCAGACCTATACAATTTACAAGTAAATGTAATTGGAACAGGTAACTAACGATATTTGTATCACAGAGGATGAAATAGAGTGGAGAGAAATAGACAGTTAACAGTATGAAACTTGTCAAGCTTGGTGGTTTTGACAGCATCACCCCAGAGCTTAATCAGGGTGGCTATCGGAGAGTGAAAGTAAAATTCCCTGACTTTTTGCTATAAAATGATAGTTTTAGGAGCAATATGGGAAAACAAATATTAAAAATGTATAATTTATAACTAAATTTATTTATTATACATTAGTAGGCATGTGCAAAAAATTCGCACAGCATATTATCAAATGCCAAATAAATAAGAAAATAAAATAATGCAACGTCTCAAAAGATAAAGAAATCAAATGTTACTTTATCGATAAATATAATCGATAAAGAAAACAAAAATTAATTTAAATCTTCATTTTTGTTTGGAGTCAACATGTTTACAAATTTCAGTAAGCTGTATTTTTGCTAAAAATTGTCCTATTTCGATGATTTTTTTACCTTTTGTAGGGAATTAAGTAATCTTTCATATAAACATGGGCATAACCAAGGGAAAAGTGTGTAATTTTTTAGTTATTCGCAAATAAAGTTTGTTATCTTTCATGACACGTTTGCCTGAATTTTCGGGGAGATTGGGATAATTGGCCCATCTGAAGGAGAAGGAAGCCTTCGAAATTTGTGGCTCAATCTTGAGATTTGGTGAAAAATTAATGATGATATGGCTTACCGATCAAAAACACCATCGATAAATAATATAAACTCCTCCTCTCTCGATCATAGAGACCTCAGTAGACGAAATGGGACATGTATTCAATGACAGTACTACAATTAATGTAAGGTTATGTGGATGCGAATCCTATGCCTTACGTTACCTCGAAAATAGTACGTTTTAGGACTTAAAAACGCAGGATTAAATTGCTGTATGCATTAAAATCTTCAAGATCCAATTTGTCCCGTATCGATCTATAGACCTACCACCGTTCCAGTATCAAAGCCCAGCAAAATGTTTGTATCGACTTTATTTATTTTAGAAAGAAAAACAAAAGTGGAGAATACGATTCGCTATTATTTTGCTCTCTTTTATTTTATTTTCATAAGCTGACAGGAGGTAAAAATTGATACTTGACATATAAAGCTCTGATTTTCTCTATTATAAAATAAAGTAAGCTATGGGGGATTCTAATATTAAAGTAGTTTCTCATAAGTAATTTAGTTTTTTTTATTATTAAGTAATTTATTCGTTATTATTATTATAAACAGCATAATAATTATCCATATCATTGACACCATGTTTAAGTAACAAATGTGCAATGTTAAACAGGCTCACAATTGTTACTTTAACATGCTGACGACGATATCACACAAACTAGTGACATTTCTGGTTAATAAATATGCTTTTAAGGAACACCACACATCGAACGAATGAGTGCTTGCCAGACAGACTTGATCTGGACCCAGATGTACATATTACAAATAGTAAATAGTATTGGTATGTTTTTCTTTTCAAAACAGCATTGATTTAATTCCATTTTGCTTGCATTTTATTCATCACCCTTGTTTGATTTAAATATAACAACCAGTGCCGACGAAGTTTACTCTTTCAAGTTCATTACAAACGATATCCTTCCCCCCCCCCTTCCTCGCCTTACAGGCTATACAGGGTTTTCTCTGGCCAGGGGGTGAGGATGAGTGATTAATGTCATAGTTAATTGCTCCCCTCTAGCACCGGAACGCAAACTCATAATTACTTTTTCTTCTAAACTTCATTATCAGGTTGGCGGGCAATGGATGAAGCAGTGCACACATGTTAGCCTGCTCGGCCACCCCGCCCCTATAAACGATACCCACTGTATATTTATTACTAATTTGAAAAAGAAAAAAATCACATGCTAAAATATTCTGTGATTTTTATCATTTTTCCTGACTTTTCCAATTTTCTATGTTGATTGCCACTCTGTTATTATATATGGCAGAGAAAAATTAAAAAAGATACTACACTTTATTTCTGGAAATTTGGAATAAAAAGAGAATATTGGAGGAGCAAAACTATTAGTATCCCCATAAAAAGAAGGGAAATCAGACTATCTTCAAAAACTATTTGCCTATCCTCATTTAAATACAAATTATACATATGAATATTGGAACGGAGTCTTCAGGAACATGCTGAAAAGGAAATAGAGGAAGACCAAGCTGATTTTCGTCCAGGCAGACAGATGCACAACTTTGTTCTCTTTTAGAATGGTCTCAGAGAAGGGCATATCCTCCTTTTCCTTGACTTAAGAGCTGCATTTGACTCTCTTCCACACCAAGAAATTTTGAATGCCTTGGATGAGAAAAATATACCACCAAATCTGATAAACGATATACATCAGTATATCAGGACCCAAAAGGTAGTGAAGCAGGAAGACAGTCTACTTTCCTTCTTTTTAATATCACGTTGGACGAGTTACGGAAGACATGCAAAAGGAGAATTCCTAGACCATCTGTGAGATATTGGAATCTGCTTCTGGTGCTAGCCGAAAGTTTTATAGTGGTAATCGCAGATGGGCCAAAATGTGTACAAGTAGCTGTTGATGAATGACCTGAAGAAATGAAAGAAAAGTTTTGAGTAAGATCCTTTATTAAAGTCATGAAGAACGGCAGCTGGAATGATTTCACCATGTTTGAAGAATAAGAGTAACCGAAAGGCCTGCTGGCTGATGAAAGCAAGACCAATAGGAAAGCACCCTGTTAGTGGACCAAGAGCCCTAGCAATATTGAATACATAGACAGGATTGGAAAAGAATGTGGATATTCAGTGGATCAATCCCAAAGAATAACTCTGGGTAGAGATATCTATAAGAGATGGACTGAGGGTACTCCGTGAAGTGCCTAACAGCACTAAGGAAATAGAGAAAAAAAAAATAAAGATAATGTGACAATCTTTTAATTTATATATACGATTGTAAATATTTTATAAGTAAAAGTAAATGATTAGGGGGGAGGGAGGAACATAATGACAATTCCAACTTTGTGCCTTATCAGTTCGCCCTCGGGCTGCCACCTAATCACAGTCGAACTTTAGTTAGATTTATTAAATATTATAGTGAATTTTAAAAACTAATAAAGAGCACACATGGTACTATCATGCAAACCATAAGCTATAAATTAACTTATAATGGTGATAGTAAATTTTGCAAAATAAATCAGACATTTATGTTATAATCATATACAAAAATAATGTATGTCCATAAATTCAGTATCAATCCTATAATATACGAGCTGTGTTCAAAAAGTAATGGAAAATTTTATATTTTGTGGGTTGTATTAGTCAGATTTGGGTTATTTATCATAGTTACGTTGGTAAACATAAGTTGAACCCATCTGTACACTGGTACTCATATTGGTTGATTCCTTAGTTCTGGAGGTGATGTGCGTTTTCTTGGGAATGTCCATTTTTGATTTGTTGGTAAATGGATCAGAGAATTTATATTAAATAAAGCAGAAATGAAATAAAATGTAACAAATTTTAAAAATCTTGAATATTGTTATGAGTAAAACAATGGTCCAAAAGATGGATAGGCATTTCTAAAATGGTCATGAAGATATTAGTGACCAGTATTCTGGACGCGCCAGCCCCAACACCTCAATAAATCAAAACGGGGAAAAAGTGAAAGAAATGATTATGAAAGGTCGCCGAATGAATGAAACAGCCCGAAAGTTGCTGATGATTTGTGGTGAAACCATTCATGGTTTTTGCAACAGTATAATGTATCTGCGTTACTTCATTGCTTGTTAGTAAATTTTTTATGAAGCTCTGAAAGACAACTTCCATTTTTCAAGCATAGATGAAATTAAAAGCACTTTGCTGAGGGAGCTAAATGTTAACACAAAGTTCGTGAAGTGATTAGGGGACTGGAAAAGACACTTACTGACGTAAGTGTATAATATTTAATGAGGACTTCTTTAGAAATTATATAAATTTAAATGAATATATAGAATTGTTTTCAAAAAATGATCATTCCTGTTATATTTTATGAACACAACTCATATAATTAAATCAAAATTCTATTAATATATAGCTTAAACTGAGAAAACTTACAATAATATAAGGAAACACTTAAGGACTTACTAGTGATGGGTCAGCTTCTGCAACATAAGAAATCAATTCACTATCAGAAAGACCAAAAGGCCCATCACCTATCTTTACACAAGGGCTACTTGCAAGCTTGTTGTGCAACTCACTGTATAAAATTTTTAACACTTTTGTTGATGTTTCTTTATCAGCTTCTCTGATACAATTGACCTAAATGACAATAAATATTAATTAACAACAAAATAACAGTATCTTAAAACTAAATTATTTATTGTGTGTGGGTGTCTCTATGAGCATGTGAACGAATTTGTCAGCGTGCCCACACCTGCATCAATATACGTTCCCACCTATGGCCCTCGAAATATATTATCCTATTCATTTAATTTGGAAAAATTGAAGAAATATATATTGGAAGCAAAGCGGTTCATTATTTCAATTAGCTTAATCACACACTTAGCTATGCTTTATAAATTAACATTTTATTATGGAATTAGAAGATCCTGATGTATTCCAAGTAGGGATTAATGAAACACCAAGCCTGCTTAAAAGCCACATGTAGAAGCTCAACAAACAAAAACTGACTGCCCCTATTTGGTGTAGCCCATTAATTACTTAAATCTACAAAGAAATTTACAAGCATTGGCCTTAATAATAATTAATTGCTTCAGTATGACAAAAATCAGATTATCCAGCAATCACTATATTAAATTAACAATTAATAAAAAAAACTTGAAGTGATCCGCCAATCAATTATTTAATTATGAGTACCCACTTTATAGAGAGTGGGTGTGCCCCGATCCCAGGGTCAACAGACGGCCTATGGAACAGAATAAATAATTAATCTACCACAAGCCAGGATTCAAATCTGGAACCTTGAGCATTGGAAGCACCACTGATCTATCCCACTCCCCAACAATTAATAATATAAATTACAATTTCAAACCAAAAGAAAATTACATTCTTTGTAATTTAAATGGAATAGAAGATTATTTTCCATATTTTAATCTGGTGCCAATATAAATCCTTTATATCATTACCTGCCTCATTCCGTTAATATGACTAGATTGAATTACATGGAGCTATTTTGAAAATTGAGCAACAATTCCTCCAATTGATATTTTAATAGAATAATTAATAGAAAGAATAGTTAATATAAAATAAAATAAGTCCATATTATACAAAAGTTTTTATAGATAGACTAAAATCTACAGAAACATAATTTGGTGCAGTTCATGCATCACATTTTACCACCTTTTTTTCTATAGCAGAAATAGATATTTTAAGGCAAAGATAGATGGAAGTAAAAATTACAGACAGTGCAAAATATTATTTAATCAATTAACTACCATATGTTTTTCCCAGCTGCATAATGTTATATTTATACTATATTATAGTTTAATTATATTATGCTTTTTTTGTCACTAACCGATATTTTTATTTGTTTAAGCATTGGTATATATATATAAATTTTAATTTTTATATTGATGTAATCTCTACAATGAAATAATACACACTTAGACATTTATAAAACTGAGTTTTTTTAATGAAAAAGTTAGTGTAACATTCCAGGCATATGCAAACCTTAAATACGCAATTTCTGTTTTGTACGACTTTTCATTTTAAACTTGACTGTTTACACACCCACGCTGTTACATAAACAGCATGCACATACAAACCATTTTGCGAGACTTGGTTATTTGGACTCAGGGGACCTCAGAACGTGTATTTCCGTTGAAAACTAGGATTCTAAAATTTACCTTACTATAAATTTCATATAAAATTAAGTGAAAGTAAAAAAAAATTTTGTATGAATAAATATTTTGGTCAAGAACTCGACTTTTCATGGAAAGGAATCTGATATGAATGGAATTCCCTATAACATAAAATACGAAAAAAATGTATCTGAAATTTTTGTTTATTTGAATTTGTTTTTTGTGTTTGTGTGAAAGTGCTTTGAAGGAAAATAACTTAATTTTTCATTTCACCCCTTGACTTCTTAACACCTCAAATAAACAATAAGAACTTATACTTACTCTAGGTATTTGTTGTGAATCCGGTTGAGGAGGGCGGCATATTGGATAATGTAAATCTGGAAGTATAAAGATATTTCAATAAATACATATATTATTAACATACATTTACCAACAACAAAAATCAATGTGCCATCAAAATGTTTAATGGAATTCCCTGATTTCACGAGGTTTTATAAAGTCATTTATGGAAAAATTTCATGTCATCTAATGACAAAAAAAAAAATATATTAATTATAATTATTCTTCCTCCTTATAAAATATTATGAAGCAATAAACAATGAAGAAAATACTTTATATACTAGTTTACAACTCAATGTCAATCGCTGTATTTTATTCTATTTTTTCCTGAAGAAAACAACCTAACCTAAAGCATGAAAGAAGAACATTCCTTTAATTTAATATATTTAGATTTTTGACTAACATGGAAATTATGTTTGACAAAAGGAGTCTGTTACTACAAAGTAAAAATGAGGATTGAAGAGATAAAATGAGTTTAAGATGTTTTGAAAGTGGGGAATGTTCCACTGAAGCGTTAAAAAAATGGATTAAATTGTTCTAGTCATAAATAAATGAAATTTATAAGAAAATATAGTCTAGTTAATCAAATCAAGGTATATAAAAAAGATTTCTCAGAAAATTCAGAAGATATATCGTCAGTTTATTACAAAAAGTCATGAAGTATATTTTCATAAGCTGAGTTGTTTGCAATATTTTAACAACCAAGCTATTCGAGTAAAACTTCTATCTCTGTGAAATTTCTCCAAGGACCAAATTGTTTATCTCTCCTGAAGTTGTAATATATTGTTAAAAGAAGTATCATGTTTTTTTTTTTTAAATAATTTAATCGCAATAATTTTTTAAAAAATGAAGCACACATATATGCCCGCTACTGTCCGTAAGGATATACAGGTTTTTTTTTTAATTTTTATATTTGGAAATTAAAACAAAAACAAACTTGTTTGTAGAACTCAATGGAGATCGTATAGGCCTGCCCTGGCCTTAGGTAAATCAGTGAGCAGGATTAGGTGCCCTCTATGGTCGCAGTTAAGTACTAAGAAAATTTTTGTGAATTTGATCTTATTTACCAATAAAAAACACATAAAGTGCACTAAAATGACAAACTCTTTTATATATAAGTATAATTGCTAGCACACGACTTTCTGAATTAACAAAGTTTTATATCCAAGTTCTTAGTGATTTAAAGTTATGAAAAGTCACATGACTTTTTGCAATTAACCGATGATAAAAAATTGGTATAATGTTTAACATTTTAAATATTGTAAATGATGATAAATTTTAGTAAGATGCACAATAAAAATTTAAACAAACCACCTTTGGCCCCTATAAATCAAAATATCAAAGCAGCCTCTTTGAAACTAAAAATAATAGAAACACCATATATCATACTTCTTAAACTTGTTTAATATACCCATATATCCTTTTTTTCCCATAAAAAAAAACCATTGCCATCATAGGCACATTAATGGTTTCTCAATAGACAAATTAATTAATTAAAAATATAATTAGAAAACAAATAATCACAAGAAAAAAAATGTATTACTTACAACAAAAATATCTATGAACAAACTATAACAACTTAGATGCGTCAAATGTATTTCTATGACTATATCACTATTATGTAAACTTATTGTGGCCAATAATGATTCTGAATCATAACAAAAGATTAATGTTCACTATTGATCCAAATATTTTAAAATTCCCCTGATTTTTGTGTATTATCATAAAATTCCCCAACTTTTAGAGGTATTCTGGTAGACACCGTGAATTAATATTTCACTGTGTCATAAAATATAGAGGTTACACAACATTATCAAAGAATATGTCAAATATTTCATGAGCATTACATTGTTATTTTCAAGATAAAACAAGTTAAGTAGTAGAGATTTTTAGTTTGAATTATTTTATCATTTTATTTTTGGCTTAAGTTTATCAATTTTAATTTTTGCACTATCTTTAATTTATTTTTTGCTTAATAGTACATATGAGGCTTACAGTTGACAGAATGACTAAATCCAATTTCAACATTTTTGAGTAAAGTCATTTTAGTGATATTTCTAGTTGAAAAATTTATAACATCTGTACAGACAGTAAGTTGACTCCATAGTAGGTGATAGGAGTTTTGAAATATAGAACTGTGAATAAAGATATACGTTTTCCCACTAGAAATATCACTAAAATTAGTAATCAAAAATGTTACAATTGGAGTTAATCATTCTGTCAACTGAAAAGCTCACTTACTAGAGCAAGTCATAACTTGCTATAACTAACTGATTAAAAAATAATTATCTCAATATCATGAAAATTTAATTTTGTAAACATTTCACAGTATCAACTGAAAAGTTAGGAAGTGTCAATTATGCGGTTTCACATTGAGATCAACAAATAATCTATTAATGATGTGATACAATTAAATTAGCTTGTGTCCGTCCAGTGATCAAAATTCAACCATTTCATTTTTAATTAAAATTGATTTTTCCTGTTGTTCACTAAATTTATTCATAACTCTTCAGCATTTACTACTGATTTAATGATACTATACTATGGAAAGCAGAATTATTACTCTTTAAAACCATACTGATAACATTTAGGTTTAATACCTTCAAAAGAAATAAATAGAGAAAAACCCTTCATATATATTTATTTCATATTTCTAGCTGTAATATGTTAACATGGGTCCGGTTTGTGGCCTTTTGGCTGGTTTATATTGCCCTAAATTCCTGCTAATTTTTGAGTGGATAGGTGGAGTCGTGTTGAAGTATCACACATTTTGTGATTTTCAGGAAAAAAAATCAAAAGCAGAAGTCTAGGTGAAAATTTGAGAGAAAAAATTTTAATTTTTATTTATTAACTATGAAAATCTATATCAGGGTTTTTCCAGATGCGAAATACAAATCTCAACTTGGTTTCTCCTTTAAAAAAAAAGTTTGAACCAACTTTGCTCATTTGGTCTGTACAAATTGTTTTATATTAACATTGTACTCAAACTATACCTATATGCCAAATATAAATTTGTTACAATAGAGGTCTCCTAGAAAAATATAAACTGAAAAAGTGTAAAAAAAACAAAAAAAAGATGGTATGAAAATACCTTATCGGACATCATTCTTTTATATTTCAACTTTTTTTTTTCATTTTATAAGAAATTCAGGAAGCTTTCAAATATTCATGGGTTTAATGAAACAAAAATGGTATGCATTTTGAGCAATTTGTAAATAAAATTCTGAATCTATAATTTTTTTTTTTCAGCTTCTATTTGGGAAAGTATGTTATACACATAAATTAAAGTGCTTCAAGGAGAAGACTTTGTCCCAGTTTCTTTTTGGATCCATTTTGGCACTTATTTTATAGTGACACTCGTTTTTCAGCCATCATTTCAAAACAAAAAGACGGGTGGTAATGAAATGTATATAAAAACCTTTCTGAATTTGATTGAATTATATGTATGTAATATATAATAAAATACCAACTTAAGCTATATGCAAATAAAATATTTTTTCATCTTAACTTCTTTCCTGCTTTTTCTCAGAGATAAAATATAATAACTGAAAAGTTGAAGGACTCTGGGAGAAGACCAGATAAGTTTTATCAAATCCATTATACCATCATTAGTCAACATTGTACTAGTGAACAATTTTTTTCAACATCTACAACTTAAAAAGTTATTCTGCCATGGAAGAAAAATTATTGCACACATGTATTATTGCATATAAGAAGTGTGTACCCCTTGGCATTACAGACCAATGCGGGCCTTGGCCTACTTAATAACAAGTCTTTACCAAGTAGCTCAATCTTGTATGGACGCTCACCAATTACAGATTTTTTTTTTTGTCCTCCCCTTCCTCACATGTTAGGCTATACGAGGTATTCCAGAGCCAGCTATTAATGCCAGAGTTAAAAACACCTCCGGGCACCTGGACCTGAACATATGATTATATTATCACATTATCTTTGATCTGAGTTGCTGGGCAACAACGGTGCAGTGTACATGCATTAGCCTGCTCGGCTATCCTGATCCCACACCAGATGCACAGTAGGTTATGGGCGTCCCTGGCAACCGTGTCCTGGCATCTAAGTCAAGGTCTTCTTCTTCAGGTCCAGTAGAACCTCCCATCCAGCAGTTTCCGGGGTAAGCTTGCAAACGTGGCCAACCCATCACAGAAATTATTATTTTAACTGAAAAGGTCAATCATACATCTGTTTCATTTCATTATCTTCCTTTGATGATCTTACCTTCAAATTTTTATCAAAAGATTCATTCATATTAAATTTTACTTACCTAGTGATGATTTCCTGTATCCTTCATTAACATTAATTAAAACTTTAGTTGACAGAAAAATAAATGAAGTACTAACCACTATAAGAGCCCAATGATGTTTCTGATGAATGCATGTTTATATACGTGACTCCAATTACAACAAAAAATAAAGAAAATAATAACAGCAAAACAGCAGATATAGGTGCATCAAACAGTAACCAGCTATCCTGTAGCAATAATCTATGTCTTCCTTTGATTTGAGTGGGAGAGGATCTGCTTCTGAAAAGAAATAATTTAATTTATCAAATTTTAAATGAAGTTCAATTTGTGTACAAATACATGGTCAATGGAAAGACAGAAAAAAATTTGATTCACATATTTATATCTCTAGTTATAATAATAGGGTGTATAAAAAAAAATGACTTTTTTATCAAATTCAAGATTTCAAAGGAATATAAATATTTTAATCCTATTTAATCCTTATCAATACTTAATAATCCCTTTAGAGCATTCTCTATGAATGTTTAATCCTATTCGACTTCTTCAAGCCTCAGGTTAGTTATTGGTTTCCAAGATGAAATATGACAGTGTCCTATGAATTCTCGTAATTTTGAGGCATTACTGAGAAAAAAATGTCAAAGCCGCTAAAGCAACTCAAGAAATTATTAAATATGGTGCACTGCCCGGCGTTGGTTTGAAAAATTTAGCAGTGGAGATACGACGTTGGAAAGGAAGAAGGGCTACGGGCGACCATTATTGGATACTGATGAGGTTCTGCAGGAAGCTGTTGAGTCAAATCCGTCCACAAGTACTTGCGAACTCGCCAGAGAGTGTGATGTGAAGAAAGATACTGTTAGTCGCCATTTACTCTCCATGGGGAAGGTGAAAAAGAGCAGTGAACTGGTACCTCACGAACTTACTCCTCAGCAATCAGCTAAAAGGTTAGAAATTTGTTGATAAATCCTTCTAATATGAGATTTATTCCTAAACAATAATGGTTGTCCTCACACTTCCCGTCAAACCAATGAAAAGTTCGAAGAACTTCATGGGCTAAAACTCCTGCCACATCCACCACATAGCCATATCTCGCATCATCAGATTACTACTTATTTAGATCCATGGCCCATTTTCTTCAAGGGAAAAAATCTGATAATTTTGTGGAAGTTTAAATTGCGGTCTAAGAGTTCTTTGACAGTCATCCCAAAGAATGGTATCAGCATGGGATCGAGCAATTGGCTAGCAGATGTCTAATGGCGGTAGACAAAAATGGACTATACTTTTATTAATTATATTTTATATCAAAGAAGTAATAATACAATTATTTGGTTGAAAAACAGTCATTTTTTTTATAGACCCTCTTAATAATGGCTATTCAGGATATTTAACTTTAAGAATAATAATATTTGAGCCCATGAAGTTCTAACTTTTTTTTGGTTCAACGGGAAGTGTGAGGACGAGCATTATCGTGTTGGAATAAAATTCCTTTTTGGTCGATCAAAGCAGAACACTTCGCAGTTGAGTTCCGAATTCGTAGTGCATCCATCAAGAACAAATTCGTGATGAATAACACCTTCGAAATTCAAAAAAACGCTAAGCATGGATTTTTTTTCTAATGATCCTCTTGCAGCAAACAGAAAAACAGTTTGACCGCGATCTAGCCATTGCTCACGTAGCATTGTAGCCATTGTATTTGGATTTCGCCAGTAAAGCCACTTTTTAGCACAGGTGACAATTTTTCCGGTAAAATCTCATATCAGAAGTGTTTTCAATAAACTTTAACAAATTTCTTGCTTCTTAGCTGATTGCTGAGAAGTAATTTTGTGAGAGACCAGTCAACTGCTCTTTTTTCACATTCCCGATGGAGAGTAGATGGCGACTAACAGTATCTTTCATCACAACACACTCCATAGGAAGTTCGCGAGTAAGTTTGACTCAACAGCTTCCTGCAGAACCTCATCAATATCCATTAATGGTCGCCCAGAGCCCTTCTTACTTTCTTAAGTCATATCTCCACTGCTAAATTTTTCAAACCAATGCCGGGCAGTGCACTGGCCATATTTAATAATTTCTTGAGTTGCTTTAGCGGCTTTGAAACTTTTTTTCCAGTAATGCCTTAAAATTACAAGAATTTCGTAGGACGCGGACGCTGTCATGTTTCTTCATTGAAACAAATAACTATACTGAGGATTTTTTTTTTTTTAAAGAAGAGGAATGGGATTAAACAAGCTTAGATAATGCCCTAAAGGGATTATTAAGTATCAGAAAGAATTAAAATATTTAGTCCTTTGAAATCTTAAATTTGATGAAACGGTCATTTTTTTTATATGCCTTATTAGAATGATGAAAAGTGTTTAATCAAAATGATTAAAAATCAAAAATTTTAAAAATGTGCAAAAGTTATAATATTAAGAGGCACTTCTGGTTAGCCGATTTTCAGGAAAAAAGTTGTAATACACCAGGAATATCTACCTTAAATACTTAACTTCATTTTTTTTTTTTTTTTTTTTTTTTTTTTTTTTTTTTTTTTTTTTTTTTTTTTATAGCAAGACTGTTCACGTACACACAGACTATTTTGTGGGACTTGATTATTTAGACACCGAAAACCTCAAAATGTGTATTTCCGTTGAAAACTCAGTTTGGAAATTTTCAAGATTGCAATATTTCCTTTATTACATATTATATATATATAGGTGAGTGAAAGTAAATAAACTAAACATGCTAACACAGTTTCAAATAAACTTTATAATCAGTAAATTTTCTAATGGTGAATCTAGTATTCTTTTAAATGCAAATGGAGATCAATTTTAGAGTAACAGGCCTTTAACAATTACATTGACTATTAATAATTTACTAATCCTCTTAATAAACTCATTAAATTCAACCAATAAGGTCATTTGAAGTTTTATGACAGAAAATAAAATAAAATCAAAAACGAAAAAAAAAAAAATCAGGTATTTCATACCCTATGTACTGATTGTTTTGTACCCTATGGATATCTGTTAAAAAATATGTTTGAAAGTTAATAAAAAAAAAAAATGCACCAGCATATGACAAATTGTTAAAGAATGGGGAGAGATCAGCTACCTCCGTATGGCAGAAATACTGAGTAGAAGGTTATCGAATTATAAAAAAAAAATGTTATTGCATGACACAATCTATTTGTTGTGATCTATACTGAGGAAAGAATTCCAAAAGCTTGGAAGAAGATGGTTTTATATCCTATTTACAAGAAGGAAGATCTGTTGGAATGGAATAGATATCGAGGCATCTCTCTTCTGCCTTGTACTTACAAGATCTTTCCAAATATATTGTACTAACGATTGCTACATAATGTTGAGAACATCTGAAGGAAATATCAATGTAGCTTTCATAAAGAAAAGTCTACTACAGATCAAATATTTGTCTAATGAATCATTCTAGAGTAAGGAAGAGAATCAGGAACAAGGAATAAGGAATAAGGAAGCAGTCACAAAACAATGTAGTTACAAATTTCATAAGTGAAGAATTAATAAAAATTAAGGACAATTTCAAAAGGTAATTAAAGCATTTATGAATTTTAATGTAATTGATGGAGAAATAATGGACGTCATTAACCGGTTAAAGAATAACAAGACACCGGGAGCTGATTGGAGACTGCCTTCTAAACTCTTCAAGAACGGAGGTGAGGAACTGTTTAAAAGGTTCCAGAATTTTGTCTTGACCATTTCGGAGGAAGAGGTTTTGCCGGAAGACTGGAACAACTCAGTTATATGCCCTATCTTCAAAAAAGGTGACAAACTCCAGTGTAAAAACTACAGAGGTAGCTGTCCTTCTCTCTTCTGGGTATAAGATTTTATCTAACATCCTGTAGCAGCGTCTTTTACCCTTTGCAGAGCAGAAGCTTAGTCCCTACCAATGCAGATTTAGACAAGGAAGATCTATGATAGACCAAATATTCTGCCTCAGAACAATTTTTGAGGAACATCAGATTAAAACCCACCATCTTTTCGTTGACTTTAAGGCAGCTTACAATAGCATTAACCGGAAAGAACTGTACAAAGCACTTGAAGGTTTCAATATACCAGATAAGCTAATACGGCTGGTAAAACTGACCATGAGAGATGTAAAGTGTACTGTGCAGGTTGGTGGTCAAGAGACAGAAGAATTCTCCTTAACAAAAGAACTTCGCCAAGGTGATGTGTTAGCATAATAAATATATGACCCAATATATTAAACTAAATATATGGCCAAAGGAGAAGTCCCTTGACCAGGCGAGACCATCAATACTGGCCCCTTTAACTTTGAGAAAGTAGAGCAGTTCAAGTATTTGGGGTCATTAGTAACACAAGACAATGCACCCAAGGTTGAGGTCAAGAAAAGAATATTTATGACTAATAAGTATTACTTTGCCCTTTGCAAGTAATTCACCTCTCACCTTCTATCCCGATATAACAAGCTACATCTCTATAAAACACTAATTCGCCAATGCACCCAAGGTTGAGGTCAAGAAAAGAATATTTATGGCTAATAAGTGTTACTTTGCCCTTTGCAAGTAATTCACCTCTCACCTTCTATCCCGATATAACAAGCTACATCTCTATAAAACACTAATTCGCCCAGTCCTGCTCTATGCTTCTAGAGGACGATTTTTTGGGACCACAACTAAAAGAATTGAGCAAGACTTCCTAATCTTTGAAAGAAAAATTCTTCAAAGAATATTTGGAGGAGTACTGATTGATGGAAATTGGAGAAGACAGACAAATGGCGAAATTTACTCAACTTTTACGATCAAGATGGGCGGGCCACGTGGCAAGGATGGAGAATAAAGCAATCCCTAAGATGATCCTGACAGAACCCTCTAGGGCACAAGAAGAGGGAGACCAAAACTGAGATGATCAGACAGTGTGGCAAAAGATTCAAGGGATGTCTGATTCAGGAGCTGGATGATGGACGCACAGAACAGAGAAAACTGGAGAAAGCTGGTGGAGGAGTCCAAGACTCATCACAGAGTTGTAGCGCCGTAATAATAATAATAATAATAGCAATAATATAATTGATACACGCTGATATATAGTTGGGCAGAAAACTTAACTGTGGTAAGCAATTCGAGTCTAGAGGATCATCATATGATTTATAAAGATCACATATTTCTATGACATAAGGATGGTGTTTTTACTTCACCCCAAGGACTTTAATCCAATTATGGACTATATGTAAGAAACATGATTGAATAAAATGACTTACTAGCTGAAACGTAGCCAATGTAAAAAATGAATAAATGTGGTGAAGTAAAAACACTGTCTTATTTTATATTAATATAAAATACTTCACTTAAAACAAATAATTACACATGGAACTGATATTTCATTTCAAAATTAGAATACAACAAAAAGAATATTGAATTATCTGGTTTCACCACAGCAATCTCGGAGCAAAAAAATATCTCTTAATATTTCAAATGATTTAAAATAAAACAAAATTATGAGACAAAACTCTGAATTTCATTACCCTTGAGTGAATCTAGCATATACAGGAGCTGTACCATTATCTTCATCATCACTTTCTTTTACATCCAATAATTTTGAAGACAAACTATGGCTTGATGAAATATTACTTGTAATACCTACAGATGAAACTGAAAAAACAAATGAATGAAAATAAATAAAGCTCATTTGTATAATTTCAAGTTAATATGTGCAATATAAACCAATCATTATTGACAAATAATTTCTGATGTTAACAATATTTAATTGCCTAATTGCCAATATCAAGTAGGCTATCATACTTCTTTGATTTCTTAAAATTTAGTTTAAAAGCTTCATATTGATTGTTTGGCAGCATTAATAAAAATTAATCAATTCCAAAACAGTTCATGAAGGGCTAATATCTCAAGGTGAGCAGAATTCTCAACATTGTTTATAGCAGGTGCCAAACAGTGAAACTGCAGCCTCCCCTCATCAAACAAATAAAAACAATTTTCTGTGAAAAAAAAAATTGGTTTACTACCAAGATCTTTCAGCACAAGAATTGAAATATTTATTTTGGTTTAACCGAAAAATAGGTTGTATTATAAGAAATCTGCATGCTCTTTTTTGGGACAGTTCATATAGGAGAATATGGTTATTCACATTTTGGAAATAGGTTGGTCAGCAACTAAATATTTTAGAAATGGTCAACCAAGCTTGAACTTAATTTAAAAATTGTTGAAATAAATACTTTCATTTCAAATAAAATTGATATTGATTGACTTCAATTATGGAATGAGCATTACTTATTAAACATTGTTCACATCAATGAGTTTATAGTCTGCTAGATTTACATTTCTATTGATGAGCTTATAAACTTGTCCAATCAACACCTCTATAATCAAACCGAATGCAACTCTTTCAGCAGTAAGCAGTGAATAACAACAGCTATTCTCTATCTCTAATGGTTAATCAGTAAATTAAAAATGGCTTAATTTGAAACCAAGCAATTAATATCATAATCACACAGTAAATGATGGAAGATACTTGAATTTATGTGGCTTCGAAAATAGATTATCTAAATAGGGAATAACATTTTTTTCAAGCTGTACAGAAATTAGGGGCAGGGTTTTGACCTTGACTTTTCACAAGTCATCAGATTTGTAAACAAAGTCTTATAATACCAAAAAAAAATTACTATAGGAAAAACGATAAACACACTGTAGATGTTATAAAAAAAATAATTACCAATACATGAATTAGGGCTGTTAATATGAATTAAATATTCAGCAAGATGTTTCAATAGTTGTGTCATAGCGAACTATACATCATAAAAGTAACAAATATTGGGATGATAAAAATGATTCAACATAATTAATAGTCCTTATCAAATAGAGCACTACTATTACAACTGTAGTAGTTAATTTAAAACAATGCATTCAATTTAATTTGATTTAAATAAAATCTATTTATGCAATAAATGAAATAAAATAAACAAACGATAAATGAATTAAGTTTAATCCAAAAAACTCAAAAACCGAACATCATAATGCAGAATTTAGTGTACCAAAAGATAAGAATTAACTAACACAAAACAAAGGAGTGAAGGACAATAAGGAAACTCTGAATTTATCAAAACAATTGTATTACATCAAATACCTGATTAACAACAAATAAGACAGTTAAATTATCTTCATTACCTGACTTGTTAGCAGAAAGCCTTCGAAGAAAATCTGAAGCATATGGTTGATTGGATGTACTAAGCCTTGGAGAAGAATAGGATGTATAAGAGGCACCAGAGGCTTGAAGCCTTGACTTGAAAGCATCACTTAAACCGAAACCCAAGTCAGGTGAATGCTTAGGGCTGCTATTGGTAACTTTAAGGTTTTCATTACTCCCTTGGGATACAAAAGATCTTGAACTTTTAGTAAATGACAAGTCATTAGAAGACTCCTCAACATTATCAGAATACAGGTCCTGGCTGTTACTAGAATTATTTAAACCTAAAGAACTGCGAGTAGACTTTCTTGGCTCAAAACCACTAATAGTAGGGATTGCATACGAATTAACACTTTCTTTCCTCATTTTAGAAACACTAGTTTGTTCGGAAAATGTGGAATTGGCAAGAGGTTCACTGACCAAACTAGCTCTACTTGGAGACTTACGTTTGGGTGATTTATTTGATCTAGGAGGAGGCATAGATTTTCTAGATGATCGGGTCCTCGAAGTATTAAGATCACTTTCATCTTCAGAACTTTGCGATATAGTGCGAGGATCATACTTTGAACTATTCAAATCAACAGAAGATTGGTTTTGCTCTAACAACGTCTTCAACTTCTTCAATAAAATTTTGCGAGTCGTAGCTGTAACTGGACCAACAGGACAACCTAATTCCAGAAATTTGGCTCGGATTTCTACGTCTGATAAATTTTCAAGATCTACAGACGCCATGATCAGTTACAACCAAGCTATAACTTCGTCGCGGTCACGCGGTCTTTCCCTCTAAACAGTTTGTGTTTATAGGCAGGTTAGTAAACATTTGAAACTTAAATACTGTAGGAAAAATAAGTATGATTAAATTCAATTCCAAAATATATCTTAACATTTAAATAAAACAAAAATTATAAATGATTCTGTAAATCTAGATAAGTAGGTAATTAAAATTATTTCTGTGGAAGAGTGATATTTTATATTTTCGATTATTTAATCGACTAGTTTTGTTTTTTTGTGGTGTGGCTTTATGTATGGCACGGGCGGATCTACGGGAGGGGCTTTCGGGCTGAAGCCCCTCCAAAATGGTAAAATATAACCATGGTTTATCGAAAAAAATATTACAAAAGTATCTCTTAAATTATTGTTATTCGTGTAACTACATTTAAAAGGGCTTGAGGAATAACTTAAAACACCATTTCATACCGGTAGTTAGTTTCTTTCTTTTTTTCCTAAGTAATTATCGTTATTTTTATTTTTTAAAAAAACCTTCGGGATGAAGTCCCCCCAAAAATAAATCCTGGATCCGCTAGTGATGTATGGGCATATTAACCAATAATTTTAAACAGTTTTATCGATGGAAATCTATCCTTAAGGTGCGTTTAGACATTTCACAAACTATGGGACAAACAAATAAATAAATGGTTATTTCACTGTGGTAGTACTTTTATTTCTTGTTTTTGATATTTTCCATATGCTGTCGACATCAAGAAAAATAAAATAAATAGTTTGGTTTAGCAATAATATCACTGTTAGTTAAGTTAAGGGCCCTTTACACCGTCAGTATCGAGTTTCATCAATATATTGACCGTGTAAGGGCTACATTGGCATCAATTATATTGACGTCAATCAGACTGGTTGATATCAAATTTGTTCGATTTTTATTGAAGCTCGTGTTTGGTACTAGCAGATCAAGTCGAGGGGGGCGCTCCTCTCTTCCCTGTATGGTGGAGAAATATTTTTTATTTAGTTCCAATAAATATGGATGCATTGCCACCTCCAGCAATTATAGTTATCTTGAATATTCCATCATCAGAATCAGATTTCGAACTTAATCAATGTAGATTGCACTTTGAATTTATGTATGTATTATATATATGTATAATTAATATATATATATATACATAATTGTGAGTAAATGGTTGACTGTCGTGAATAATGAAGAGAAGAATAGTTGGGGTGATCAGTCAACTAATAAGGCAAAAATAAATGATAATATTTATTTTTACATTTGCCGACATTTCGACCTGAAGTTTAGGCCATCATCAGGGCTAAGACAAGAACCAGATAACAAGGTATGAGTAGTGTAGGTAGAACAAATTAACGTAAAATGCAGTTGTTAGAATAATGACAATAGTAAGAACTAAGAGATAAATGATAATAACCGGTACAAAGTGTGGAATGCTGAAGTAAACATAATCAAAAAAGGTTACATAAGTATTAAAAGGGGAATTTAGAATAAAATGTAAAACAGAAAAATATGAAGTTATATAAGAAATGGCACTAGCGGATCCAGGATTTAATTTTGGGGGGGGGGGCTTCAGCCCGAAACCTTCTTTTTTCATAAAAATAACGATAATTACTTTGGAAAAACAGAAAGAAACTAACTACCTAAATGAAATGGTGTTTAAGGGATTCCTTAAGTCCTTTTAAATGTAATTACACGAACAATAATACTTTAAGAGGTATTTTTTTTCCCCTAAAACATGGTTGTATTTTTGGGGGGGGGGGCTTCAGCCCGAAAGCGCCCCCCCCCCGTAGATCCGCCCGTGAGAAATGGAAATAAATAGTAAAATTAAGATATTGCGAATAGAATAGTTAGATAGACAATTGAGATGTTGTAAAGTCTATCAAGATGTACAGACAACGCATATATAATAAAGAGTTAGAACAGAGAAAAGGAATGAAAGAAAGGAGGAAAGAAACTGATAAGGTTGAAATAAGAAAGAGAATAAGAAAGAAAAAGAAAAGCAACCTTACTGCAAAGATGTAAATCGAAGCAATGAGCATGTTAGTCAGGGATGGGGTGGAGAGAAGGGATGTATAGTGGCGTTATCTCCAACGGTTATCTGACGAAGTTTGAACTAAAGTACCGGAAGCGTAAATAAGGACGAGAGATATATTACTCATAAATATTATGGACAATTAAACTAAAGTTGATAGAAAGAGTCAATAAAATAGTTTAATATAAAATAAATTTATAATAAATAAATTATTTATAAATTATAAATAAATTTAAATAGTTGATGGAAATTCTGGAGAGGTAATAAAACAAAGATAATAACTGTAGAGTAATAATCGAGAATAATTGAAATTAATACATATCATATATATATACCCCTACACACATGCACATACACAAACATATATACATATAAATATATATATATATATATATATATATATATATATATATATATAATAATAATAATAATAATAATAATAATAATAATACTTTATTTATTCTGGGACAAGTCCCTTTAGAATAATACATAAGGACAGTAATGTGGGCTAAGGAGCCTCAGAGATACATAAAAAGAAATGTTGAGTAATAAAATAGTCATATTAAAAATTATATGTTACTTTCTAACTTAAATAAGTTAATAATAAAAATTTTTTAAATAAAATAAAAATAATAAAGAACAATCTAATAATTTATATACATATTTTCAGTGGTATCTATTTACAATTTTATGATTTTATGGGGACTGGATGGATAAGAAATGATTGAACAGGCGGGATTTAAAGGTAGGAAGGGTATTAGATTGACGGATGTGGGAAGGGACGGAGTTCTATGAGGATGAGGATCGGATAATGAATGACCTGTCGAAAGCAGCGGTTCGGGGGCCCTTATGTATAAATCAGAAGATCTGGAACGAGTATTGCGGGAGCGAACAGAGGATTTGAATTGGAGGAGCTCGGAGATGTATGAAGGTCATATATATGAAGAAAATATATATATATATATATATATATATATATATATATATATATATATATTTTATATATATATATATATATATATATATATATATATATATATATATATATATCAGATTTTATTATTAATATATACACTTGACAAATTTTAAAGATTCAATGAAAAAATAAAATTTTATTAAAATATACTTTATGAAACAAATATTACTTCAATAGATTTTAAGTTTTTGAGTAATCCAAAACTGAAATAAAGAAAAACCTCTTTAAAGTTGAATTAATACTAAATGTTTAGAACGCTATATCTTTGCACCACATAGTCCGATTTCGATGATTTTTTTTACATTCCGTAGGGAATTTAATATTTTAATATATATATATATATATATATATATATATATATATAATATATATATATATATATATATATTTAATGGAATTTAATCCCCCAATTCCCAAATTATGAATTCATTTGTAACGTCTCGATTCGTTGAGACGGCACCATCATATGGTTTGAAACCTCCCACTTTTATTTAAGTCCAAGTATAAAATTGGTATCAAAATTACGATTCACGCACTCTACGTGGTATTCCCTTTCTATTGATACTTCATTCGTCAAAATCCATCACACCTAAGAGCCGGAAAAGAGATATATATTTGAGAAATAATATATAAGAAGATTACTTTCCTACCTATACTAGGTAAGGAAAGTATTGCGATCGGGTCAAATTTCCGATATGCGGTTTTCGACGGATCTATACGTTACAAAGCTCCTTGAGTCCGAATAACACATTTTTAGCCCCTGGCAGAATTAGCTTTAGGAAATTAGTGTATGGGGATGAATTATCCCTACATTTCTTCTTTCTTAAAATTGGTATTTTAGTAACTTTTTCTGAATTTGTTTTCACCATCTAAGGGAGGGCCTGCCCTCTAGCCGAATTCGCATGTACTTGTCATGATAATAATTTTTTTAATATTAAATTCATTATCTATGAGAATGAATTTTCCTTATATTTCTCTTTTTTTTAAAATAGCTACTTTTTGGAAATTTTTTTCTAGCTTCCAGGGAGGGGAGCGCACCCCACATCCCCGGCTGGATCCGCTAATGTCCCGGTGCCCAAGAGACTCAGCCATTAACTCCCCCTCACTCCCTGGCCCTGGCCCCGTATAGCCTAAAAGGCGAGGAAAGGAAGGACAAAAAAAAATAAAAGAAACTATTTCTGGCAGGTGGTCAGTTCAGTGAGAAGGGTCTATTCTATGGATCTCCAATTTTTTTTGGCCCGCGGGCCTCATTGAGACCTGCAGTAAGCTCCGTGGACCATGGTTTGTGATGAAAAGAAAAATAAAGGACACTTCACTTGTGAAATGACCTTTCTAATAGAAACAACTCGTGCAATGATTATTATAGTACGTCCTGTTAGTGGTTTACTAAATTTTATATTTTTAAAGTTTTACCATGTAATCAAAGAAATTTTCACGTGTCAGACAGGAGGCGTATGGTATGGGTTCGGCCCGTGTGCTTAAGTTGGGAGACCTCTGGTCTACAGTGGGATCATACGGAGTCACTTTTTGATTGGTTGGCCATCTTGGATCGTCCCTTGCTATCTGCTTGCTATTTAGGCACCTCAAAACTGTTAAATTTTCATATTTTATTAGCAGTATTTTAGTTATGAAGCTTAGTTTTGTTGTTTAAGTGTTAGGTTTAGTTTATTAATAGGTAGTTTTTATTGAATAGTTATACGTTTTAGTGTTTGAAATGATAGTTTTGGTTTCATGTTCAGTGATGGGTTTCATCTTCACAGACTCTTATTTTATTAGTGATATTTTAATTAAAAGTTTAATTGTCTTGTTTTAGTAATAGATTTAGTTAACTAATACTTAGTTTTTAATTAATAGTTATTCATATTAGTGTTTAAAGTGATGTTTGGTTTCTTCTTCATTGACTTTGTGAGTATACTTTAATTCTTTACTTTATTTTATTAATTTTCCTTTTTGTTTCAGTGGCAATGAAAGCAAAAGATAAA